TTTTTTTTTAGTTTTTGTCTTGATTATTCACTTCACGGATGCTTTTTCAGTACGAACGCGGCCATTTTAATATGCGCGTAATTGAATTGAATATTTACCAATATACAGTACTTTCGTTGACGTTTATAGTAGGATCAATTACGTTTCTATTTGATTTTAATATTTGTTTCCCTCAGTGTACTGTAGGGAGTATAGTAATACCGTCTTATAAAGCTAAGCGTACACGATAGAGAAATCTCTCGAGAGTTTTACTGAAATAAAAGTCTCCTCTCTCAATTAAGTTTACACGGAGGAGCAACTCTAGGAGATATTGACTCTAGCTAGAGACAAAAATAGAGAAATCTCAACTTTTATCTATCACGTACTCTACAAGCTGTATACACGGTAGACAATGTTTACCTCTCGCCTAGAGTTAGTTTCTCGAATTGTTGTCAAAGCTTGTTGTATGTATATATGTATTTATATCAAAGCCACGATGTAGAAAATATAGTGTGCGCCATCAGAGCTAGCGCTCTCTTCGTCGATTTGACAGCATTCACATATTTTCTGACGTGATAAAATACATTTTCGCAAAAATGTACCTAAAAGTAGACAAATGTACCTAAAAATTAAACATGGCAACCTCTCTCTTTGGTACTATGTGTACTTTTGGACTCACATCAAACAGTTTCTCCGAGCAGTTCCTGCCAAACTACTATATATGTATATGTATGTATGTAGGTATTCACCAAGTTGAGCAAGTGGCCTGGCACTCTCACAAAACAGCTGATAACTGAAGCAACGACTGTTGCCAGAGTGCCAGACCACCTGTTCAAATGTTTTAACCAATAATTATGCCCCTTTGCAACGGACGGAGGCTATTGGAAAAGCCATTGAAATGCCAATGAAAATAAGAGGATGATTCTCAGTACATTATTTGGCTACATTCTAAATGTACTTAAAATGGTGTGCTTGTATCGAATATACGATTTAATGTCGTAGCCATTTCAAAATTTAACAATCTGTAATAAAGTTCATTGTCAAGACTTTACTATACGTTTCCGTAGAGCAAAAAGTCTATTTAGCTTGCTAAATAGAGCGTAGAGTTGTCGTAGAGTTTTCGATCTAGCTCCGTTGGACTGTGTACACGACGAAAAAGTCTCGCTAAATAACTCTCACATAGACTTTGTAGGTGAGTCTCTCGTAGAGCTCTGTTGAGTGTTTACACGTATCTAGCGAGATTTTTGTCTAAATCTCGCGTTTTTTCTCTACCGTGTACACTTAGCTTAAAGAAGTAAAATGAGTAAATTAACAAAACACGCGAACTGCAAAAAGCTTATTCTGATAACTTTGACTGCAAGTCGGCACGGGTTGCCGTGGTTAGAATTGCATAGAATTTGATTCGGATATTTTTTAAGATAACACCAATGAAATGAGGGGGTATGCGTCAAAAAAACAATGTTGGTTTTTGGGACAGTCTAATGTACATACATATATAGGATTTCTGTTGAACAATGATACGCACCCATTTTGAAATTGCCTCCAACTATAAGATAAAGTTTCTAGGGCAGATTCACTATAGATCCGGATCATTGTTGCCACCAGGCAACTTCTTCATGGACATAACACTTTCGTTAGGTTATTTAAGGCGGCAAATGACCACCAAACCATAATCTTAGCCGATGAATGTGCCAATGGAAATCGTAAACGTGGACTGTTGGAGAAAATGTTGGACCGACTTGTTTAAACTAGGGATGTGCCGGATATAGATTTTGCCGGATAACCGAATTCCGGATATCCTGTAAAAAATAACAGCCGGATTCGGATATCCGATCGGATATCCGTTAGACTGCTGCCCTTAATAAATTTCACAATATTGTTTTTTGCCGGCTCGAGTTCACCTCGACCTCCGCACCGTTTCTGATGCTACAGAATTTACCACTTCGAAAACACAATTACGCACACATCTGTGCGATGCTATCGCAGTGAAAAATGGCATCTTATAAACAAACAAAAAACAAACTTCATGAAATTCTTTGCTTTTGAACAATCAAGATGTTTTGTTTTCTTACGTTAATTTTTGTTTAAATTATAGAGAACCCGCCTATTAACCTTTTTCGTTTCCGAACGCGTAGGTCTGCAATTTCGGCACGACGTAATGAGGAGCTGTGAATGTTCCAATAAATAGTTGCGGCATTGTTGTAATTTTTTCGGAACAGGTTCGCACCGTCAGAATCGCACATGTGTGTTGATGCCTTATATGGACTTTACATGGTCACATTGTTTGATCAAACTGTCTTCTGTGTAATTAGATGGTTTAACTTACACGCTTCAAAATACCCCTCAAATTTCAGTTTTTCGTTTTGGATGAAGTTGAAGAGAAGCTTAAGGAAGCTTTGTATTCATTTGTTAATACTAATACTAAGTCGTATATTTTTCCTTGTTCAATTATGTGTTTTTATTTAAATTATTGTGTAAAAAATTGTTTAATTTGAACTTTGACCCTTTATAACTTTTGTAATTGTTGTTCCCGCAAAAAAATAAATATACCGTTATACTCACCGCAACTATCTCTATCGATCCCCATATGTTTTTTTTTTAATTTGAGAATCAGAGCTATTCTGCATTTATGACCAAATTTTGCTCAACTTCTGTATATTTGACAGAAATGCAACTCTGAGAAATTACGCACGCAAATTTATTTCGGTTAATCAGATGTGAAAAACTTGCGTGCGTACGTAGAAAAACTCACGCCGGTAATATTAGGTTGAGCTGTTAGAAACTCAATACACGTCACACATATAGTACATACAAAATTTCACTAAACCCATGCACGCAGTTTGACCAAACAATTTGCCCGTGTAAGGTCCCTATTAATCTTGTACTAAAACGATAACTTTTAATAAAAAAATTTACTTGATTATAGGACTAAACATTCAACAACGACAATGCTTCACTATTGCAACATTTTGAGACCCACGTTTCAAAACTTCGTTTTTTTTTTCTGACGCCAATAAAGCTAAAAACTGGGTTGTTGATGAACTAATTCGAAATTATAAATCAGTTAGCATGGAGAAACCAGTTGAATCATATGAAAAATGCCGAACTATAGTGAAAGCTTCCATCGAAGATCGAGCTCACGAGGATATTTGGCAATGCTTTGAGGAAATCGCCAACGGCTCTGATGCTGATTCTAGTGTTTCTAGTGATATGGATAGCCAAACGATTGGTAGACAAGGCAGCGAACGTACAAGAAAAAAGGCAGCGATTTATGAACTAGAAATAGAGAAATATTTGCAGCTACCTCTTATATCCAGACAAGAAGATCCCTTAACTTGGTGGAAGTATAGCCGCAAAGAATATCCAAATTTGTTTACACTGGCAATGAAGTATCTCTGCGCGCCACCTTCCTCAGTGAACTCGGAAAGAGTATTTAGTGCATCGGGTAACATTTATGTTGAAAATAGGAATAGGTTGTTACCCGATAATGCGGAAATGCTTCTTTTCGTAATGAAAAATATACAGATTGTTAACCTTGATTACTAATTAGACACTTTTAAATTGGATTACAAAAATACAAAATCTGGGTTAAATTTCTAAATTGAATCTTCTATAATCGATATCCGGATAACCAAAAAACGGCCGGATAGGCCGGATTCCGGATATCTACCGGATACCCGGCACATCCCTAGTTTAAACTAAAAATCTTATTTTGGGTGGGACGAAGTTCGCCGGGTCTGCTAGTATGTATATATATTAATTTGTATAGATATATGTATGTAAGTATGCACATGAATTTTTTTTAAATCGGTAAGATGCATATTAACTTGAGCTATGTATAAAATTGTTAATGACAAAAATGAAAAGTACTCAACCTCATATATGTACATATATCGTCGTTTAAAGTACAAAACCGCGTATCGTCGTTCTGCAAAACCGCGTATCTGACATTATTTGCCAAAAAAATGGATTTGCGCACCGAAGCTGTTGGCTCACGTCTTGTCCATTCGTGCTGAAATATACTAGCCAGAAATGCGACTGCTTTATAAAAGAGAGAACAATTTTGAAATATGAGTGTTTTTAATCTCTACAAAATAATTTATGCAACCTCACATACGCGGTTTTGCGTTATCTTAACCACGGTTAAACCACGATATATAGATATATAAATATATCTTACTGATTTAAAAGAAAACCTCATATATGTACATAAGACTGCATCACTCCCCATACAAAAAAAAAATCGGTACTGTTTTTCCATTGAAATTATAAAATCTTTTATATTTTAAGACTTCCACCAAAATATTTCGGAAAAATATTAAGATTTGAGCGAGCTGGATCGATTTGAAAATACCTCCAAAAATGGGAGTTTTTTATGAATAAAAATAGTTTTTTTTTTTTTAATAATAATATCCCAACGGTTTTTACCCTCCATTCCCGCCCATCCGCACGAGGGGCGCAGTCCGCATGACCTACGCAACCAGTATTTTCAATTTTTGCGCCGAGTCACGATAGGCAGGAGTTTGTTAAGTGTCGAGATCTAAAACTGTTCAGCTACAGAACTAAACTCATCAGCCGATTTTATGTCTTTATTTTAATGATTAATTTATTGAGAGAGGACTGTATCGATTTCTTAAAGCTGAAAAGCGGATCTGATATATCAAACGTGCTGGAATGAGAGTTAAAATCCTGGCATAAGCAACGGAGTGGGTCGTGCAATTCAAAATTAGTTTTACAAGCGTTCAGAAATAGGGGGCAAAAGTGTCTTGATACCCGGGAGGGAACATTAAGGCTAACTTCGCCAAGAAGAAGCGGACTTGAAATTGAGCCTGTTAGTAATTTAACTATAAAAATTGTACCAAGCATTTGCCTGCGGCTGGAAAGTGTAGGAAGATTAATAAATTTTAATCGGCTCGTATAAGGTGGAAGGTTATATTGAGAATCCCATCGGAAATTTCTTAAAGCAAAAAGTAGGAATTGTTTTTGAATTGATTCTTAAATCTGTTTTTTTTTTAAATCTGCTCAAATGACAAAACGGTTCAAGCTTAAAAAATTTACAAAAAAATTAAAAAAATGTTGACCGGAATCGTAATAATGAGATTTTTGATGCTGTTTTTTTAACTTTTTTCATAGATTGGTATAGGAATAACTGAACCTAAACTCTTCCGATTTAGACTTGTGAGGTATCATTGGAAAGGTATTTTCTTACCCTTTTTATTTCTTCGCTAACAAGCTCATTCAAAGGATGAAAGAGAAAGGTAGGATGAGCGAACATCATTCAAAGTAGAACTAAGATGTGTTGGTATTTGAAAAAAAAATGGGACACGAATGACTTTTTTTTTGCACATAGATAAAAATAGTGGGGAAATACCTTTCAACCGAGATCCCATAAGTCTAAACCAGAATAGTTTTGGGCCAGTTATTTAAGTTTTTCGTAAATCAAAAAAAAAACAGTAAAAAAGCAGCATCAAAAATCTCATTATTACGATACCGTTGAAAAGATTTTTAAATACTTTTATGCAGATTTTTTAAGCCTAATCTGTTTTGTCATCTGAGGGGACTTTTTTCAAAAAGTTCTTTAAGAAACTATTTTTATTCATAAAAAACTCCATTTTTGGAGATATTTTCAAATGGGTCCAGCTCCCTTAAATCTTAATATTTACCCGAAATATTTTGGTGGACGTCTTAGGTTAGGTTAGGTTAGGTTGAAGTGGCTGCTAGGCCCAGAGGGCGCCAGCACACTTAGGCCCGATCAGGGCCCATTGTGATACCACATGGATCCAAAGAAAACCCCTATTCCTTAAACCAGTTTGTGGAGTCTGCAAACCTTAGCAACTGCCGTATTCCAAACTTAGCAGTCGCGCTTAGATCGTCTAGAAGACCTATACCTAGGAATTTCTGTCTTTTCCTGCCCAGTGCTGGGCAATCGCAGAGTAAGTGCCTTATTGATTCAGGCTCTTCTTCGTCGTGGCAGCTCCTGCAGTAGTCGTTGTGACTAACCCCGAGGCGTTCTGCGTGCCTTCCTATCAAAATATGTCCTGTGAGCAGACCAATGGCCAGTGACATATCGCCTTTGTTGAGAGTGAGAATTTCTCTCGATCTCCGTACATCCCATTTTGGCCATGTAAGCTTCGTTGTATTACAGTTTTCAGTGCGCTCCCATCTGGAGGCCGCTTCTTCAAGGAAGTTCTCCCTTAGTAAGAGCTTGCAGGAAGCGAGTGGCATACCCAACCTCTTCCAGGCTGGTGAAAGTGGAGAGGAAGTACCCGCCCTTGCAAGCTCGTCTGCCTTCTCATTTCCTGGTATGTAACTGTGCCCCGGTACCCATACCAGGTGCAAAGCGAACTGCTCTGCCATCACGTTAAGTGATTTGCGGCAGTTGGCAACTGTTTCCGAATTTATAGTGACAGAGTCAAGCGCCATAAGGGCCGCCTGACTGTCTGAGTATATATATATTTCCGTAGTGGCGATAACAGCTAGTTTTAGGCTGTCAACGGCTTCTTGTATGGCTGCCAATTCGGCTTGAAAGACACTACAGTGGTCAGGTAGTCGGAATGATCTTTTTATTCCCAATTTCTCCGAGTAGACGCCTCCTCCTACCCTGTTTTCTAGTTTGGAGCCGTCCGTGTAGAATCTTATGGCATCTCTAGA